TATAATATATAATTATAATATATAATTTACAATATATATATATATATAATTTTATATATATATAATTTGTAATATATATATAATAATATAATATTATTTATTTATTATTTTTTATTTTAGACAAAAAATATGGTATTAAAAGATTATACATTAAAAAATCACTTACTTGTTAGATGGTATCAAGGTAAATGTGAATTAGATCTTTCATGGTGTTCATAAATATATTTTTTAAAAATTTTATAAATTATTACATTTTTATATAAATAATGTTTATATGTATTGGCAGTATACAATCAATTCTAATTTAGAATTATTTAACATATTATTTATTATTTATATATTTCATTATCCAAATTAAAATAAAATTAAAATTTATTTCTTAATAATGAATTGAAGAATAAAAGAAAAATGAGAAATGACCAATTTCATAATTTTTTGTTTATCAAAATTAAAATTAATAATTATTATTTTATTCATTTTTTTTACGATTAAATTTAAATTTAATTAAAATGTACACTTTATTTTGTGAACAATATAATTAAATTCATTATTTTTTTATTAGTTAATTAAAATATCAAAATAATCTTTTTCAATAAAAGTATTTTATAATATTTTTTGTTTTTTCTCTTTATTCTTCAATTATAATCATAAAAATTATTAAATCTTTGTTTAATTTTGTAGCATTTTTTTATGATTTTTTTTTACCTTTGATTCAGGTACATTTGGATTTGTGCCTTTATAAAATTCTTTTAATAAAGTCATTGCTTCATGACTTTTAATATCTCCCATTATTGCTGTTCTTGAATTATAAAGTTTTGGTATTTCAAAAACACTAATGCATCCCCCAAAACGATCATTTCCACAACCATATATAATGTTACATACTTGTAGCTGACATAATGCAGATGTACACATTATACAAGGTTCTACTGTAACAATAACATTAATATTATAAAAAACATTTTTATAGCTCAAATTTTTTGTTTTACAGAATTCTAAAACTTGATCTATACAATTTATTTCTGCATGTCGAGTTGCATTATGAGTTTCATTAACTGTATTGTTACCTGTAGCAATAACTTCATTATTATATATAAATAAACAACCAACTGGAACTTCACCAGCTTGTAATGATTCATTTGCTTTTTGCAAAGCAATATTCATCCAACTTAAAAAATCCATTATGTTTTTTTTTGAATTATAATAACATAAACTTTATACATTTTTATAAAAATATTACCAAACACATTCACATGATAATATAAATTATTACAAATTTTTAAAACAATCACATAAATTTTACATAGTAAATTAGTATAATTTGTACTGAATAACTAATACTTATATAATACTGATAAACAAACAAAAAATTTTCTATATTTTTTTATTCTTATTCTTCTTATTAAATATTCTTAAACTTCTAATGTAAAATGAATCTAAGATACAAAATATTCAAGTAATCCAAATTCACTTAATTTTTTGGTAGCTTTTTCATTCCAATTTTTATTATTTACAGCACGTGGACTTGGATGAGGTAAACATAATACCTAAAAACATAAAAATATGAAAAATATATGTTTCAAATCTATTTTAATTTAAATTTTCATAATCACCTTAATAGGTAATTTTGATGATTGAATTACAAATTGTGCTCGTTTTTCTGCATATCCACCAATACCAATTACAATTTCAGCTTTTATGATTTTAATTATATCTAATAAAGCCTTGTCACAACTAGACTGTAATATTTGTATCTCTGATCCCTAAAAATATATTATTTTTATATAAATGTAATTATATTTAAAAAAAAAATAAATACTGCCTTTATCTCGGCTGGTGTAATATTGCAGCCATTTTTTTTCATTAAAGCAATAGGACAATAATTATGTATATATGCTTGTTGAAAGAATTTTTCTGGACTTCCGCACAATTTTTGGAAAAGGCCCCATAATCTTTTCCCACTGATTTCACTGCGATTGCATTGAAATCCTGTTATTTTTCTATTTGGTTGTTCTTTGACTGGTTTTCCCACAGGACCATAAATTTTTAACCAATCCCGAACCATGCTTATCTCACCAAATGGCACACCAGTTTGAGACATACCCCAAGGACCGGGATTCATTCCAAGAAATAATATCTTTTTGACAGTATTACAATATTTTTGTACATACATAGTATGTATATTAAACGCATATTCAAGTGGACTATAAACATATTCTATTGGCGAATGGAATGTAATTTTTCCTAATTCTATGACTAAATCACGTTCTACTGATAGTACTTGTTCAGATATATTTCCAAGTGATGCGTCATTGAGAATTTTATTATCCTCTTCAGAATTATTTTCATTTGATAATTTAATTCTTTTAAAATTAACATCTATCGAGTCACTATCACGTCTTGTTTTGGTTTTTCTTGAATTCGACATTATGACGCTTATTTTAATTAGAAATATTTCGTTACAACACTTTTAGAAATTGTACTTGATTATAATTGAACACTTTAGAATTGAACTTTTAGAACTTTTGAAAATTATTGATAAAAAAATAATAAAATATTTTAAATTAAAAATTATATATAAAACTATATACAATTTTTTTAAATAATATTTTCTATTGATTACGATAGCGATTAAAATCGAATTTAAATTCAAGTATATAAAATATAAATTCAGATATGTTAAATTCAGGTAATAGTACCAGTCTACATTTATCTTGAATGTTGTGTGTATATATATATATATATAATCATTTATCTATTAATAAATATAAGAAAATATAATAAGAAAAATAACAAAATATGTTCTTTATTTAAAGAAAAAAGAATACTAACCTTTATTTTTCTTCCATATATTTGTCTTTATTTAATTTTAAAATAAATTTAATGAATAATTGTAATATTTGATTTTATATACATATATACTATATATATTTTTAAGTATTTTTAACCAATAGTAATAATTGGAATTTTAATATAACCAATCAGTAACTGAAGAATTATAAAGTTCCGAAAGAATAAAAATTGTATATATAATTATAAATATAGAATATTCAATATATAGTATTATTATTCAATAAATATGAATAATAATAAATAATATTTAAAATGATATGATATTAAAAAATAATATAAATGTCATACATAATTATATACATAATTGATGTGAATATATATTGTTTATTATCATACACAACATTAGTCAATCTTGATTAATATTAATTAAATTAGATTATATTTTTTATAAACATTAGATAATTAATTTTTATGTCTTAAAATCTCTAAAATCTTGTGAACATAATATAAAGCTACATTTTTAGCATTAAATAACTGAGAAATTAAAAAGGAATGGAATAAAAGAAAAATAAGATTGTATTTCATCTAGAAACTACCAATCAGATTCATTGGTACGATTATAGAATTAGAGACAAACTATATATTCTAGTCTAGACATATATATATATGGTCTAAGGTAAGACTTATAGGATTTGTAGGTTAAATAAACATTTTATCAGAGCTAATTCAAAATATCGACAAATTTTTATATTTAAAAATTTGATATAATAATAAAATTAATATGGAAAATCAAGTAACAGTAAAAAGCAATAATCCTGCTCCTACGGTAGAGCAAATTAATGCTGATCGTATAACTCAGGTATTTATAATTTAGAATTTTATTTTTTTATTACAAAGAAATATATATATATATATTTATTTATTTATTTTAATAAACAATTACAGCTAGCAAATAAGTATTGGGCACCACATACTATGGATTCACATCTTCCATTTAACTCTCAAATAGTAGAAGATATTTATATTCAAGAAATATGTGCATCTAAATTTTCTATTCGAAGAATTATGATGTTAGAATTCAGTCAGTATTTAGAAAATTTTCTATGGCCAAATTATAATGCAAAAATTGCAACTCGTGCACATACAATGTCTATTGTTGTCATGGTTAATGAAAAATTTCGAGAACGTGTTCAAGTTTGGGAGGCATTTGAAAAGAATTCAGAATATTTTCCTGATTTTTTTCAAAAAGTTTTAGAAGCATGTCTTGAAGAAAGTATAATGGATTTTGATTTAAAAGAACAAACAGCATTGATTGTTTTTTTGAATCATTGTTTTAATTCTATGGAAGTATCATTAGTTAGAGAAGAAGTAAAACGATTAGTATCATTAGCTATGTGGATCTCTTTACAACAAGGTCGAAGAGAATTGGAATTTAGAAAATATCCAAAATGGAGGAAATATTGGAAAGTTATAAGGAAAAAAGATAATCCTGAATATAAAGAAAAATTAGAATGGGAACGTAAATTTTTACATAAATTGATGATAAAATTTATGACAATATTAGAAACAATACCAGAGGAAGGTAAAATGAAAGAAATAAAAATCTAATCTTCTATAATAAAGATATTTTATATTATAATAATTTAATATCTATTTTTTAATAGGACTACTTTTACCAGATAAGGTACGATATTGTGAAAGATTTCTGGAGTTAGTAATAGATTTAGAAGCTTTATTACCAACTAGACGGTTTTTTAATACTGTTATGGATGATTGTCATTTAGTAGTACGATGTCAATTATCTAATTTATTACATCGTTTGGAAGGTGAATTATTTGGTCAGGTAAGTTATAATTTTTAGTAAATAGAAAAATGCTATTTTGATAAGTAATATATTTCTTTTCTTCTAATATTAATTGATATAATTTATTTCTCATTGTGTATTTAATTATAATATTAGAGTAGTATTTTATATAATTTTATAATATAAAATACATTATATTATAATGAATAATTTTATAAAAAATTTTGAATCTCACTAAGTTTATTCAAAAATACAAAATATAATTATTTTATAAAATATATATTACATAATATATTACATAATATTTTATAAAATAAAATTATTTTGATTATCATTTGATTATCAAATCAAATTTCATATTATATATTGAATGTTCTATTTTTATTTTCTTAAGATATATTTCGAAAAGTATAGGGATTAATGATATAGATAAATGTAGGATAATAAGAGGAATAAATGAATAATAGTATCATTTATTTATTTTTGTAATAATAATGTGTAAAGTTACCGCGAAAATGAATTTCGAATTTTTAAATTTGAATTTATATTATTCATATTATTTATTATTGCAATTGACATCAAAATATTTTAAATATATAGAAATAACTGGTTAAATATATTATAATTAGAAATATATCTTCAAAATTATCACAAATTCAAATAAATCACTTAATCTTTTAATATTCTACAACTTTCATCTGATATGTCTTTATCTTCCATATCTTTCGAAATATTCATCTGATGAAATTAAAAAATATTTCACATAGTTTGAAGAGTTTTTAATATCCCGCGTTAATGGCAGTCATTTCTTCACCCCAATCAAGACCGTCGATATTTTCCCCTGAATTACAGCAGTTACACGTTTTACTAAGTAAAAATGTAACTCTTCTCTGCCCGAATACACAAACGTATAATATTAAAATTGCTTCTAATAAATTAATGATGATATGACAATACTCTAATGCTTCGTAATTTAATCTCGATAATAACAATGATAACCAACCGGTACTCATTGTTACAAATAAGAAAACAAACATTCTAAAGCTATATTTCATTTTATGATGAATTCGACCATATGTATTCATTCGTTTTATTTTATTCGCGGTTGTTAATACGAAACATAAATCAATCATTATTGTAAATGCAATCGATGTAAATAGTACAGAAATACCAAGCCAACCAATCGTTTCTTGAGGTGGATACATTTTTCCGCCAATAATAGGTTTATTAGTTTCTAAAGTAAAATGTGCAAAAATTGCAGTACCAGCTATGCTAATTGTTGAACACCAAACATATGTAGAATAATAACAATATTTTCTACCGTCAGTAACTCTTAAAAATACATTTCGTGAACGAAAAGTGCTCCATACATAATAACCGAAGGCGTTCAACCAAAAAAATGCAGCTAACAAGGAAACATACATGACAGTATCTGAAAAAAATATTTTCATAAGTATTTATTTAAGTATTAATTTGTTTTTTGTTTAAGTAATATTTGATTGAATTTTAATCTTATTATTTTTAATCTTAGTATAATAAAAAATAATTTAAAAAGTATAATTAAAATTTCTTTTAATATTTTATATATCATACCAGCAATCATAAAACTGATGTGATTGCCAAATTCCGTAAAGATTCTGACTGTTGATGCACATTGACCAGTTATAAGGCACAGAGTCATACTAGTTATCATGTTTCCCACAAGATCACGCAGTTGTGGTAAAACAAAATAGATAATTGCGACAATTAGATAACTGATTATAGATATTGCATGAAAGGTAGGATCAATCGCATGTTTCATCAAATAATTTGTATCTGACCATGTAACAATTACATCAGGTACACAAATCATCGCATACATCGCTACTAGTCGATCTCTACTCAAAATTGCTTTGTCAGCGCAATAATGTCCGAATGGATAATCATAATGAATAGACACTGTTTCAAAATTATCTTCATCTATTGAATTTGCAGCATCAAATCCAAATACATTATTGTATTCGTGTTTTTCCTTTGTTAAATCAGTAGTATAATGTCGTAAGACACCGTTCGTTAATATAGCAAGTCGATCGTCACCGGATCGATAATGATATACATTCCATTGACGCTCGTTAGATTGACATTTAGGTCTTCCGATCTTTAATTGATAATTCGGTTTAATTAGTTTATTTTTTGAAATGCCATTGACCTCTTCTATAAATTCCGGTCTCCACTCCGTCTCGTTTGTTTCCGTCAATGGCGTGCACGTGTCGTCGACAAGAAGCTCATTGTGTTCGCAACATTTTGCCACGCTAATCAAATTTGATTTTTCATCGGTATTTGCAAGAAGGGGATAATTTGATCCCAATATACCGATGATGATAAATAATGCACTCATGAGATAATACATATCATTGAATCAACACCTTTCTTACTCTCGTGATTTCGTTTCCATATATTAGTTTACATTCGCCAATCAACTTTCTTGGCTATGGCCAAGTTAACGTTTTTCCTAATCAATCTTGCGAGGACTACGATTACCTCGATGATGTTATTATTCACTTGTTCATTGCAACGTGACGGTGGATTTCTCGTGTGTTCATCGCCATACCTGCTAATGCCGCCAGCGGATTACCCGCCTAGTGAGACCTACCCCTGCCATATCCGCCGCCATCACTTCCCATCCATTTCCATTCTCTATTGCACTATCTTTTTATCTCTCTTTCTCTTTCATTTATTCGCTCACGCGCCAGCTTGTCTACTCTCTTTTTCTCTCTTTCCCCCTCTCTTGTAGCTATCTCATCGTTTCCTTTTGCCCCTCCCTAATACTCATCCTTACCTTTCTCGTTCACTGCACTAGTCATTATATTTTTTTCCGATGTTTGTATCTTTATTATTCTGATAATTTTACAATTTTATTTCAAGTTATATATTCAATATTTAATATATGATATTCAATATAATATTCAATTTTTACAACAATTTTAATATACATTATAATGAAATATAATAGTAAATCCAGAGGGAAATAGAGCAATCAACCTTCTGTCTTCAAATAATAATAAAATAAATTATTTAGTCACATATATTATAATTATTTTGATTTTTTATAATGTATTAATAATTAAATCTAATAATTAATTATAATTATATTAATAATAATTAAATATTACAATTTAAATAATTAAATTTAATTATTTAAACTGTAATATTAAATAAAAATATTAAAATTATTATATAAATTACAAATGTATAAAAGTTAAAAAATGTTTATAATTATTTTTATATGTTTTCATCTTCCTCAAGCTAAGTTTCTGGATCTATTTTTATCCGAATATTTATAATATCATTTATTGACGATTTATTAATTTATTGATAAATTGATTATTGATGAATTTAATAATATAATAAATTTATGTGATTAATGACAGTTTTGTTATGTACTTATTAAATATTTATTTATTTATTATTATATTATTATTATTTATTCATCTATATATTAGATAATCATTTTATCCTTGAAACAATTTCATGTTTCTCGTTTTTACACTTTTTCTTTATATTTTAATTTTTAGTTGTAAGCCTTTTTTATGAATGACAAAAATTATAATTTATAAAAAATTTATAAAATTTATATAATTCCATAACAAATTATACGATTATATATATTTTAAAAATATTTATTTACTCTTTTTTTTCGTATGATTATTATTGAAATGAATTCATGCTAAATATAATAGAAATCAAAATACGAAATTTTCTTTAATGATCGATTATTATATGTATTATATTAAACTTATATATAATATATAAAACTTAATATATAATATATAATATTTAATTTGATTTTTTTTTATATTTATATCATATTTATTATTTACATATTTATTTATTTTATATATATATATATAAATACAGCGTTTATTTATATTATATTATACTTATATATTTATATTATATTTATTATATATTATTGATATTTATTAATATAAGTGTAATAATATATAAATGACAATATTTTATAAGTAATAAGTTAAGTAATAAGTTTAAAAAAGAAAATTCAAAACAGATTACATTATAAATGAATAATAATTTTTACATAATCGTACATAAAAGATCTATAAAAAGATTATTTTATATGTCTATGAATAAAATCTAAATAGCTTGCAAACAATTTAATACTTATGTAGATATTAAATTACTTTTTTTATAATATATAAATGAAAAAAAAATTTAAAAATTATTTATAAATTGATATATATTTCAAAGAATCTTCTACACAGTTATTATATTATTAAGCAATAAAAATGTTACGTCTTTCTTGCAGCAGAAGTATTTTTTGCGTTACTAAAATATTGATTAGTAACATTGGTGTTTCATTGGTGTGCAAAACATTACAATTATATATATGTACATATTGTATACGACAATATTAATTTTAATCTTTGCATAGTCAAATAGCATTATTCATAATAATATGTAGATAATTATTGAATATATGTTTCTTTACATTTTAATTTATTTCTTTATAGAAATATATATATATATTTCTTAATCGTTTTAAAAATTTCGTATAATAAAGATTACAATTCTAGTTAATCTAATTTCTTTTTTATATGCTATAAATTTCTCTCTCTTTTTTAGAAATCTGATTTACGTTATCTATTTTTAATGTAAAATAATCATAATTTTTATAGAAAATAAAAATAAAATTTATATTAAATTCTATACAATTTTTAACACTTTTAATATTACATGATTTTTATACTAGTGCACGATTTTTAAAATAATGCATGACTTTTATAATTAAATTTGTTTTTCATTTTATTTTATTTTATTAAATTTATGAAGAATAATTCTATTAATTTTCAACGTTTATATTCAAAAAAGAAAAACGAATTTGTTGACTAACACTTTTGTTTAATACTTATAAGATATAACATATAATTTAAAATGAATTATCATCTCGCCATTATAAGTGTCGCGTCAATCATTTATGAAAGTTTGATACGAACGAACTTTTTGAAAGAAACAATAAAATAATTAGATAAAATTATTACAATGACAAATATATCAAAACGATAATAATCGATTTTGTCTTATATATACCGATAAAAATTAAAATATATACCGGTAAAACTACAATTGATGACATAATAATAATTGATAATTAACGCAATATTCATTATTTAATAATGTTCCTAGAGATTCTTAAATTCTTAAATAATTATTATTACATATTTTTTAACAATTCATTTGAGATTATAAAAAATATATTCTAGTAAATACATTTTTAGCTATAAAAATTATATATATGTATGTTACGACTAGGTAAATGGTAAAAGAGTATTGAATTCTATACAATCTTTGTATCACTTTGTTATTAACAAACAAATATATAATTTTTTTTGTCATTATTTATAATTATTTCAAACTAAACGATGTTGATATAAAAAAAAAATTAAAAAAATCATTTTTTTATCAGTGAAAAAAAATGTTTTAATAAATATTAATCATGTTGCGATAACTCAACTTCTTCGGGTAGAACTTCTTCACATTCTTCGTCTTCATAAGCTATCCAAGATTTTGGAAAACCAATTCCACAAGGTTTTTTTTTTGCCAACAATTTCCTGACACGTTTTCGCATCGCGACTAACAGTAAAAATATTATTAAACCTTGTAATGCATTTAGTATATCCGTTGGTATCCTAAATTGAAATTTAAATAAAAAATTAAAATTATTATTTATAAACGAGATCAACCAATATTTATTATTTCTTGATTAAAATTGTTTTTTAAAAAAAATTAATTTTTAACATTTTTAAAAAAGTAAAAAATAAGTAAATAAAAGTAAATAAATAAATAAAAATTACCAAAAATCATTTTTACTATGATCAACAAATGAAACTACTTCAAATATCCATGTAATACCCATGACAAATATCAGTTTGACATAAAGCAGACATTTAAAACGAAGTGATCGTAAATTACTTCCATTATAATCTCTATATTGATGCCACAATCGCCAGCCAGTTAAGCCAAGATAGATAATATTTAACGTTAATAAAATAGCAATTGGTCCATAAAAATATGCCCACGTTTGCTCAGGGCCTACAATAATATGGATAATAATAATAAGATTTATTAAAAATTATTAATATCTTATAAATATCGATTTTACCGTTAAACCAACAAGTATTATCTCCAAAACCAGGTTTCAAATGCGTTCCATCTACATGATGAGCGATTAAGGATACTATTAAAAAACACATTGGTCCACCCCATCCAATAATACTATAAGTAATAAAAAGTGGTTTATCTGCGATTATAAAATCTTTAAACCTGAAAGAGTATAATAGATATAATAGATATTAATAGATATATCAAAAATATAAATTGGAAAAAATTGGACTTCAAATATTTTTTTAATAAAATATTTACCAAACTGTCCTCCATATATTAAAAGAGACAATGTTTAACCAGAAAAATACGGACATAAATCCGAAATATAAAATAAACCCTAAAGAAATATTTACATGAATTATCGATTAAATCAATGTATGAATTCACATCAGCATATCATACCTAAAGAAGCACATATCGTGTAATCTTTTTCTCCTGGCAATCTTAAATTTTGTACGGAAAGAATAATATAACTGACTGCTAATGATGTGACTACAGCCATCATCGCTTTATCTTGAACTTCCCTTAATTCTGGTAGTAAAACATAAACTGCTAGGGTAGCGATTAAGAATATGGCTGATATGATACTAAGAATACAAAACAATGTATTCTTCCACATCACGTAATGTTCGCCTTCGAAACATATCAAAGCCACTTGCAAGTTGTTTTCCCAATTTGTCACGCAGAAACTGAATATTTAATTAATTTATTATAACATACATATTAATTAAACGTATACTGAATATTTTAAATTCGAATAAAATTATTCAAAAAAAATTCAAAATATTTAAAAGCGAAATATAAAAAGTGAATTTTATTTTTTGTTTATATTCTGAGAAAAAAAAGAAAAAAATTGTTTAAATTTAAATAGAAATATTATATATATTAAAATATCGCTTTATATATATCGATTATCTCTTCTTCGTCCATATTCTAAACATTTCTTTTATTTTATTCTTCTTTCTTTCTTTTTATTCTGTTTTTTTCAATAGGAAATTTTAATTGGATTTATTACAAAAATATAAAACGAAATAAAGATATGAGATACAAAATTTTATTAGCTAAAATTAAATAACTTAAGTAAATTAAGTAATTTAAATTTAATTCAAATTATTATGATCATCTATAATTTAAAATTTTTTGAAACTTAGCAAGCAAATCTCCTTAAAAAAAGATATTTTCTTATAATTTTGAATTCGAAAATGACATCAAATAGAATAGAACTTTGATATTATGATTTACCTATCTGCCTTTAATTTTATGTGACTCATCTCCACGAATTGAAGCCATGGCATCCCATGCTCTTCGATTATAGTAAAATTTTCCTCTTTAGAATCGATTATGTAATATCCATCAGACAAGCATGTAAGACGAATCTTTGTGCCATCAGAACAATTTTTCGAAGATGACGACCATGTCGAGTTTGGGCAACAGTTGATGTTGATCGCTAGACTCGATGAGATCGTCCATATTAACAAAAAGATCCATAGTAATTCTAAAAAAGAATAAATTTGAAAATACCTGAATCACGTATGCAATACGTTTGATCTTCACGGAAAATTTTCATTATTCATGGAAATTAAATTATATTGATTAGATTACAATATACTCGAATTGTGTTTATATGCGTACGCACATTTTATATATACTTATATATTTGATATAATTTATAAATATAAAAATTTCTTTATAAATATAAGAATTTTCATTAGGAAATTTCATTCTCTGTCATAGACTCTTCGCGTATGTATATAAATAAAGATTAGAAATATATCTTCTATTCAATCTGAAGAAAGACGTTCATTTATTTCAAACGTAACATTTCAACGATAAAAACTTAAAAACACAAAAATTTGCGATAACATATACGATAAATTTGTA